GCGAATTATTCTGGTAGCTATCTAATTTAGATGCTCGTATATGCTAGCAGATGGTTGTTTGTTTATTGGTTGGCGTAACTAGATTATTCACACGTACGACGTAAGTGCTCTTTATACTTAATTTGTGAAAGTAATGCACGATTTCACTAAACTTAGGTCACTCAAATCTGTTGCCTGAATATTTAGGAATCGCCTCAGATGAAAATGTATTTCAACAATGACTAGGAAACACTTAACGAAATAAGGCAATGTCTAAAGTTATGTGTGTGTAAAATGGCAGGCCACAAATATGTCAAGGGATAAAAAAAATGTTTATTTGTAATTGAACTAGTCTGCTTAGATGTTGCGTAAGATTGGGCGTTTTCTAGTCAATGCCTGATTCTAGGTTACTGAAAATGGGCGTTAGTTTAAATAATCTTGGTATTCAGAATTGAGACATGGTGGCCAAGTTTCTTATCTTATGACAGGACGCATATTTTAAGCCTAATCCTATAGCGACTTATTTCATCAGTTTTTGCCAATTTGAATTGTTGATCTTCTTCGGCATTTCTTATCCTTTCCGGCTTTGAGCTTTTTGTGAACAGATTGCACCTGCGTTACATTTCTCTTCATCTTACCAACGCATTTCGGACTAATGAGGAGCACTTAACACTATTAATTTTCAATTACACATAAATAGTTTGCATTTGCATTTATAAGTGCAAACATAATTTTCAAATATTGTCGTAAGAGTTACTTCAACTTACCTTTAGTTTAATTAATACTTATGTCAATTGTCATTCGTTAAAAATCTGAATGGTCCTGGCTGTATCTATCGTTGTAATTGCCCAATCTCCCTATTCGATTTATCTATAGGGAAGGCCCGTGCCCCTGCAGCACATTAATATGCTGGTGATGACGATGACATATAAATTGAAGGTTTTGATTTGATAAATCAGACGTGGATTGTCTTATTAAATTTATCTTTGGAATAACTATCAATATCATCCCAATATAATGGACTATGGAAGATAGTTTTCCAAGAGCTAGATAACTTTCTGTCACGTTCACAGAAATAAATTTGGTCACGAAAATTTTAATTTATATAATTCTGCAAATTATTATCCCTTAATCGACTTCGTCTAGCCAGTTGCGTGGGGGTTATTTTTACATTAAAAATTTTTAGTTGAAGTCTAAAGTGAAATTATTTTATTACAGGAATCGCGGAACACATCTGATCCCACAATGTTAGGACTAATTTTCGTGCCATCTACATCTAACAAGATTATAATAATGTTATGCCAATATTCATAATTTCTGCCGTGAATCAGCACAATTTATTACATTTAATAAATAATACAATTACAGTGAAAAGTATTACTAATATACTGCAAATTTATTTTTTTACAAAAAATATCTTTCATATCTTTTATTTTTACGACAATTGTATGCAACTGATACATTTTTGATACCTGTAGAATTCGTAATTTCCTTGATTTTTTGACTATTATTTCACGTGAGCTGGCTAAAAGCTATTAATCGTGTGTTTTACTTGAAACAAGCCAGATTACTTTAATAATATGGAGTTAGAGATAATAAATCTTTCATATTTCGAAAGATTTTAATGTTTATGTTTGTAAATCATGGTTGGAGAGAGTAGTATATGGTAATACGATGTTCAACAGCTGAATGTTCCACCGGGCTCAATTTTCGGTCCATTATTATTTATATTATTAATGATTTGCCTTTTTTACATATCACACAATATGGTTCGAAAAACTTTTTCAAAATTCTCCAATTCCTCCCAATAAAGGCTTTCATAGTTAAAAATTAATTTGTTAATATTGCACATATTTGGGTCAAATCGGTCGTGTCGCAGAAAAAGATGTGGCAGACAGACAGAAAGACAAGCAGAAGTAGTACTTGTGGTGCGGAACCCTGAAAAAATACAATCGTTTCTTATGAGCCTTGAATCCCACAAGATAAAGAGTCTTGATTAAGAAAATGAGCGATCCCCGCTCATTTATTTTACCCGACGACTAACAAATGACTCGAATACACCATTAAATGATGAAACTCATCAAACAATTCTGCCCTTTACATCTACGATAGTAAGAGTTACATTTTATGTTACACAAACTCGTTTACTGGAAGGTACTTGATTTATTTGGAATGTCGATGACTTGTCGGCAGTCATTTGTATCAATAATGTTGTAGTTCGAAAAAAAGCTTTTAAGGAAAACGCAATGAGAGAAAAGTTAATAGATGTGTTTATTCAGATGTTTACGGAAAAGGCACAAAAGTTAGTGTTACCTAAGAAAGCTCACTGTTTTGATAGCTAAAATACAGTCTCATATGCCTCTTGGTCAGTTCAGTTGACCATAGCATTTCAAAAATAGCCTATTCTAGCATCAAAATCGGTAGGTTTTCTCAGGAAAATTGTGTTTATAATGGCAGTCACGTGACCACACGTATTACTTAAAATTGAATGTCATACTAATTGTTTCGGCGATCCACAAACTATTTTATATGAGAATGAGTAACTATTAAAAAAGTTGACCTTTGAGATGTAAAAACCTTGCAGAGGTTAAGAAATAAGAATGAAATATATATTTGAAAATAAGCTTACGCTTAGAGGTATTAATGATTTAACTATTTTTGGTATGCAGATCTAAAATCGAAGGTAACATTGAAGCAAAAATATATTGAAAGTACCAGGCTGTTATAAATCAGTAAGAGGTGCTTCGCAAATAACAGGGGTGTCAAGCGATCCGGCCACTCGGAGACGTCCATAAATAATGCTTAGGGCCATCGATAACAAACGACAGTCGATGTTGATGCTGAACCATGGTCGCAATCTCATTCCATATTTCATTATTCCTGACGTATGTATTTACTGAAGACGTTTTATATTTGATATTTTTCATTTTGAAGTCTCATTGCAGATATCCATAGTTGTATGCGTCAACTGTCTATAAAGCGTAATTTTGCATTGAAATTTGAAAAACGATGAAATTGCTAAAATTATTCTTAGAAACGTGTGAACTTCATCATTAACAAATATTAACAAATAACACGGAAAACAATATGCACTTATAATGTGAAGTACAGGACGATAACCTTATGCGTCGTGATATTTTAATATTTGCTATTAAATTTTTATTATCTAACCCTCTCATATTTGATGATTTCCCTTTGACAGCAAATCGAATGAAATTGTTACTAAACTAATTATTATATAAACGTTTCTTGTTACAAGCTCGATAATTTGTTTTCTTTTATTGGAACGTAGTTTTAATCAATACAGGATTGTTAATCGATACAGGATATGGGTTTTCCATTTTAGATGTAGCGGAAAATACGACTTCAAACATATGGTCATGGTATTTTAAGCAATTACTAAATCGATCGTCAGTTGTTTTTGTATTTATTCGTTTGCTTTTCGTGTGGCGTTTTCCTACTTCATATAAATATTTAAGAGGTAGATATTCAACTCATATGTTTGTTTTTTAATTAAAATTTTGCAATATTTATTAGAATACCGCATTGGTAAACATAAAGTACCTATCTAGTTTTCCGGTTGTTCCACACCTCAAAACGAAAGATGGAATCCTAATATGATTACTGATTTGTCAGTTCTATTGGTATAAAACGATGCCTAAAGTTACTATTTGCTTTAGGCGATCAATGGTTTAAAGCAAATACTATCTTTAGTGTTGGTTTATTTCTATTGGAATTTTGTTTATTACTGCAAAAGATATTACTTGTTTGATAATAAGACGGATTGAGTTAAAACTTATTCATCTGCGTTTTAATACTCTTGCCAGAGTGGTCGTGGTCAATGTTGCTATTTTCTACATATTTCAACACTTCCTACAGAACGCGTAATCCGAAAACATTTTCATTGCAAGTTGCCCGCCAAAATATATCCATTTATAATCCAATCGTCCATATGTGCCGTCTTTAAAATGAGATAAGTGAAACTACGGTTTATTCGATGGTAATGGATATTCATTCAAAAATAAAGTAATGTCAGTATTTAATTCAACAAATACTTCATCATCATCAGCATTTACATATCTGCTGTATCACATTGATTTCCTATTTTATAAAGTTCAACTCAAACTTAAATTAATATAATTAGTTTAAATTCTGTTCAACTTTAATCATGCTTTAATCATAACAAGTTATGTTTTGTAATAATTAAATCCTGTTTGGTATCTTAATAAATAAAATTAAAAAATACGCTGTATTCGTTGGCCGGTGTAGTTCTCTTACGACAGCTCGCCATCTCTCCCTGTTAACTGATATCTCTGAGCTGTCGTGTGACACTTGAGAGGCGTACCTACTAGACTTTATTTGGTCGGTCTATCGCATTGGTGATCGCCAGCGCAGTCTGAGTCTCTTGTACCCTACCTAGGTACTTATTACGCGTATGGAGGTTTCGTAAATTATACACGAATGTTTTTGGATTTGAAGTATGTGGGCCCCCTTTTGGGCATTGATAAGAAAATTAAAACATATTCTGCAAACTATATGATGTGATGCATTTTCTTTTGTGAGGATTTCAAATATATTTATTTTTTAATTTTAAAATTATTTAAGATCCTTATTACATTTCAGCTATGGTTTATTTTGGCGTTCTCGATGTTAGAAACAAAACTATATTAATAACTTTGACTTATTATAATCTTTTGCCATAGTTCGTAGTGGCGTCTTTTTGGAAATTTGTTTTACTTTTTAATTAAACATAAAATATTTTAGATTGAAAAAAAGATAACAAAAAATATAATTATTTATAAAAAAATATCGCATACATTCTTCAGATTCCAAGAAGAGTATGGCTGAGCAAAAATGCTTACTGTTGAGTACCTGAGACAAAAAAGATACCACAACGTCCATTTTCAACATTGCATCAACGTGGAATCGAACGCGGGATATTAGAGATGGCGATACCTTGAAATCTTTGTGCGAATCACTCTGCTACGAAAGTCATCAAAATTACCAATGAAACGCAAAGTCCTCTCAAAACGTGTAATTTCAAAAAAGTCTTTCGTTCAGATCATAGAACAACATATTATAAATAAATAAAATTAAGACAATTGAAAATAAACATAAGACAAACAGTGAGCAAAGAATACAAATGTAACATGAAGGAATAAAAATTTAATCTCAAGAGAAAATATTATCTAAAATCACAGGAGAGAAAATACAGTTATTCACTGTTCCTACTGATTCGACGACTCCAACACGGATTGGATCCAGTCAGTGTAACTGGCCACTGACGTGTATACTCCCGGCCACCCGTCTCTTCCACATCCGTAGCCAAAAGACACCACGCCAACTGACACCCATGTACCTTCAGGTCTTTTCATCATTAACGGACCTCCGGAGTCACCTCTGCATGCGTCTTCAGCGAACGTTCCACCAGCACATATTTGCCTTTCTATCAAATTGGCACCCAGTGTTCTATATTTGTTTACGCACTCATTTTTGTCGAATATTGGTAATACTAACTTCAATTTTACCGGGCTACTGGAACCTGAAAAAAAATATCGCTTAAAATTACTTGATATATTAGTTGGGTATAATCCCCGTAAATTGCTAATGCGCTGGAACCTTGTCTAAATAACACTCATATAAATAACAATAACATACGTCATATGAAAATAGGAAGTAGGCACAAAAGGCAACAGATAAATTATTTTTTATATTTAATAGTACCCAGTCGTAGAAGGGCAGAAGACTCGAGTCGCAATTGTCTAATTATTTAAACTGATCATAATTCCTTTCAATTTGACATTTGAAAGATATTCACCAAATTCATGCTTCAACTATTTGACATTGAATAAAGGTCTTTAATTGAACGTTCATTGAAATTGTCTAAGGCAAGCGCTAGACGTAAATATTAATTTAATTTACAAAGTCCTTATTATGGCTCATGCTCATTCAAATCATCATTTGTTCTGAGAGCGATTGCAAATTTAACTTTTACAATATCTCATCACAATATGCTTTTGAAAGGGTTTTGGTCATTTGGAACTTCAACGCGTTCTAACTAACGCATAGGCAAATATACAACTTTAGGGTAAATGGTTTTTAAAATTTTGTATTACAGCAAAACAAAACCATTAACGGTCGTGTCAAAGTTTGCTCTTAGAATAACTGACACCGGGTAGTCTGCCGTAAATAAGTAATAGTTTCGATAATCTAATTGAGAACGGGTTTACCGATATGGCCAAAGATAAGTAAACATTAAGAAAGTTTTCATATCGGCAGGAAATTAGTATGAGCAATATTTTTTTATTGCCATACCAGCCCTGCGATTCTGTAAAAATCCAAACTCGAATTCGAATTCACTCAGGTCTCCGAATAGGGATGATGACTAATTTTTGTTTGTTTGTCCGTCAGATAGAGTGTTAAAATATTAAAATATTAAACACGTATTTTTTTTATTTTTTTCGTAATCATAAAATTACGGCGTTACATTGAGTTGAAATTTCGCATGACGTCACGTTAGAGTACGTTTTCTACTCAACTGGGACGTAGCGAGCCCCCACTCCTCAACTTTAATGCCTGTTATCTAAGCTATTTCTTGTTAAACTGAAGTAAAAAAAAAATACGTATCTAATATTTTTCTATTATCTGACTGACGGACTAAATAGAATTGCATTTTTATTACTCTATTCACTTCAAAAAGCGGCAATCTTAAATTGGTGATAATGTTTCGTGGCATTACATAGGAATAGAACATCTGAGACACGTATAATCAATCAATTTTGTTTTGTCATTATAATCATCATCAGCCCTTTTACGTCCCCACTGCAGGGGCTCAGGACTTCCTTATGGATGGATATCCTTAACGTTACTTCTACAGTACGGAGTGGCTGGAGATACTAATTTTTTTGGTCACCCATCCCGTGACCGACCCCTGCGAAAGTTGCTTAACAACAAAGATCGCGGACCGCGCTGTATATCCTTTACAGTGCCAGGCTTCAGTAATTAATTATGACAGATTATTTAATTTATGCAGCGGTATCTACGAAGGTCGCCATGTCAGAAATATCGTCCGATATTTTTTCTTACTCGTCAAAATCTTTGTAAATGGGTATTATCAGGTTAAAGTGGGGTATATAAAATCAGTCTGTCTACTCAAAGATCTTTGGTCAAAATGCAATCAATGGAAATGTAGTAATGACATTATTGAAGGTTAACCATAGATTATAACTATAACAAATGAATACTCGATAGACGATAAGAAGGCATTTGAACCTATGGATTGATAAAACATGTGTCATTAATAAACATCGAATATATAATTCATTTATTCGTATAAACAAATAAATAGCATGAGCTTTATGTAAAGAATCAGCAACTTCATCACTACCAATATAATAAACTAACTGCTCCCCGCGACTTTGCCCGTTCTTTGATTTACTTAGAGCTCTTAACAAACACTCCAACTATCAATTACAATTATTTGCTAGATTTTTAACAATTATAAAGAACCACGCGAAATTTTTTATTTTAAATAAAAAGAAATAAGAGATAACAAACAATAAAAACAACTATTTATAGAAAATTCAGAGAGACTCAAAGTTAGACTAATAACTAAGACTACGCTGTTTGATTACGTAATAACAAACATAATTTTTATTTAAATTAGTAAACCGCGATATCGGTATAATCCCTAACACGTAAAACGGACCGTCGTCTTAAATTGAGAGTGATGTATCTGTTTTCCTCATAGCAACATAATTCCTGGAGTTTGTAACGTGTAAATCTAAAAATCAATAGTCACCTTTCAAGGTTTTCCCCCAGCCGGCCACGTATACGTCGAATCCAGGACCCACTCTAGTGTTCAAATCGGGCAAACAAATGGGTTTCACGTAATCTGTGGGCAAATATAAACGTTATTGAAATAGAAATAGATATTGAAATCTCATATCATAACGGTAGGTTAATTGTATAATAGGGATGACGACTAATCTTTATTATTATTATTGAAGAATATTGAACACGATTTTTTTGCGTAATCATTGAGTTGGCATGACGTCACGCCTTTAAACATTTTCTACGTAGTTGTGACGTAAAGAAATATTATTGACAGCTATTCAGAAGTGTCAAAGGAAAGTGTTGTACGCTAACTGCAATCTTTCCAGCGGGTCTGACTAGGTTTTTATTATGTTTCTCGATTATTCAAAGCATCATTCGATCTTAACGATCGAGACTTTAAAAGTTATGTGATTTGAAAGTAGACAATTAGCACATAGGGCCTTTTTGAAGCGACTCATATTGAACGTCGGTTTCATGATTCGGCGTTCCTCTGATTACTTCTTTCGACATATTTAAAGACATGCTTATTTAAAAATATTTATAGATATAAATCGGTATGCAGGTTAGTAAGAAGTATTATTAAGCATTTTTGAATATTACAAGGATTATTTTAAATTTTGTTTTCTCATAAAAAATAAAGTAACAATTGAAATCGACTGTGTTTAAATTATCAAAAGTTGAATGTTTAAAACTTATCTAATTCAGTCAGTTGTGAGATAAACAATGAAGCTAATTTTAAACTCGATAACAAACCGCAATTCTATCAAAATTGCAAAGATAGAGCCTAAAGTTATAATAAACTTACCATTAATAGCATAGTGTTTCTTAATTTCGAATTGTAAGGCAAGCTTGTTGTAAAAATCTCCACTGGAGTAATTTGTTGATTCTAATTGCTAAAAACGTTTATTCTTTTGGGCTCTTTATAATTATCATTACTATAGTAAATTGCTATAGATAGTATTAGTTTTGCATGCGAACTAAAGTGACTGAAATAGCCCCAAAAATTGTGATTCTGAAGGCTCATCGGACTGATAGCCGTGGGGCACTAAAAGCGAAGCGTAACCAACTCAAAATTTGGGTGGACGATCTAGTCAGGGCCGCCAGGAAGCTTTAGATGGAGATCACGCGGGACCGGTTGTCGAGGAGAAATTTGGGGGAGGCCTTTATCTAGCAATGACCGTTATCCGGCGGAGATGTTAATGATGGTGAGAAAACAAAAGCGTATTATTAAATTAATTTAACTCACACGTATATCTTGCTCTTTTAGCTAGCCTGACGATTCCTATATCGTCCTTTTTGTTTTTATTTCTATCTGCGTAGCCTTGATGTGGGAATGTCCTGTGTACAGCTATCTCTTGTGGCGGATCTGCGCATACGCCATCACTGCAGTCTATTTCACTTTGAGTATCGTATTCACCTAATCTTACAGTAACTCTAAAATAAATAGAAGATACATGTAATGTATTATAATGTTTTATCACTACAAGTAAAAATTTGGGGCTGGCACCATCGAGCTGAGTGGTCAGCTGATTTTGGTCTGCGATGCGATTATACTTTACAAGTAAAAAAATATATCGTATACTTACAGAGTTCCAACTTCAGTTTCAACAGCACCGGTAATACAATGCGCTGCAGTTAGCACATATCGATGATTGATAAGTACACCGCCACATTGGTAGGTTCTTCTTCCATCGGCTAAAACAAAAAAAAAAATATATTAAACAAAACTTGCTTGGTGAACTTGATGATGTTATTAATGTATGCTATATTTAAAAAAATGTAGCTATGAATTTCCTTCGTAAGACTTTTTTTTATCAAGTGTAAAAATAATCTGGTTAATTTAAAGCCAATTAACTTACACTGAGGACATGAAAGCTTGCCTTTACATGCAAACGTAAAGGCAATGAGTTTTTGAACAAATCGTATTGGGTATCGTTTTATATGTGTCTTATTCCATTGTTAATTTACGTCAATAAGTACTAAAATTACTATCAAATATTTCAACATACACTTTCGGTATCCTAACAATGCCATCCATGGAAACTCGTCTAGTTCCGTAATCTGTCCACCAAATATTTTATCCCCATTAGTATCTACACCGCATTCACCACGACGAGCTGGAGAAGAATCTTCTTCGTTCGCAGGATCTATATCGGTTGCTATTGGTGTTGTTACAACAGGCCTCCTCTGCAATAGTAAAATAATATGATAATCATTATTATCAGTCATACGACATCCAATTCTTCGTACCCTGTCTCCCATGCTAGTTTGAACTGTACGATGGGAACCAGTGCCTTCCTAATTGCTGTTACAATTTAATATGGAAGTAATGTTCTACAAAATTAAATAATAAATTGATTTATTTCATTAAAAAATTTAGGTTTACTTTGCGAAAGAATTTATTCACTAAAATATCTATTTAAAAGTGTTGCTGTTTATAAATTGGCAACTGTTTCATAACGGCTTCTAATTTGAAATAAGTCTTTGGATTTTGTTAATACTGTTATGTGATTCTAATACCTACCAGCGATGAAACAAATATTAGTATTCGTATTTTTAGAATAACAAGATTTTAGATCAAAATAACCACAAATACTAAATATCATCTAACTAAACGTAAAACGAGTTATGATTTGACTGTGCATCGGGTATGTTCACTATCATCACCAGCCTATTAATATCCCCACTGCTAGGACACAGGCGTTTCTTACGGATGCAATGAGCGACCTCGCGGGCCCAGTGGGTATTGGTTAACGCCCAGTGGGTATTGGTTAACGCCCAGTGGGTATTGGTTAACGCCCAATGGGTATTGGTTAACAACTGCAGATACAGATATTTTGTGTATGTATGATGCAAATAAAGAATTTATCTATCTATCTATATTACTAGCCGTAGCGAAAGTTGCTTAAATTCAAAATAATTAAGTTGAAATATGATAAATTAAATAGATAAATGATTCATTTCTTGCCAAAATACACACACATTACGTTTCATTCAACATATAAATAAATAATGAAGTATCCGCAAAATGTGCGTCGCGCAGTATACAAATATAAAATAAATTTGCGTACCGTTGTATCGGTTCCCTGGTCTTCTGGAAGCGGACCACAGCAGACCTTTGGAGTGTACCCCTCGAAGCCACATTGCGAGTTTCTTAAAAAGGTGACCACTCTATTAGGCAATGGGCGCTGATTGAACGCGTTCACTAGCTGTGGGCAGTCGTACAACAAGACGCACTCACTGATCGCACCCAATGGTGTTTGGCAGTTTTCTGAAACTGATAAATCATTTTATCTATTTAACATATGATTATAACTCATCATATAATATAGATAGATAGATAGATAGAATATTCTTTATTGCACACACAAAGACAATATACACTTATATGACAAAAACAGGAGACGTACAATTGGCGGCCTTATCACTAAAAGTGATTTCTTCCAGGCAACCTTGGGATGGAGTTAAATATAAAAGACCTAATGATGGGGTAGTGGATGGTGTACAAATAAACAATTTATAAATATACATAATTGATAATTGTTATATACTTAATTATAATTTACCTACATATACTATATAAACATATATAATACCTATATACATACTTTCATGGACAGGTAGTGCTCTCTGACAAGTTTCCTAAATATATTAAGAGAATTAGCTTTTCTAATCGACAACGGTAGCGCATTCCATAGGCGTACACCGTGGACGGTAAAAGATTTATCGTAGTACCTAGTGGAATGTATTGGCATTTCCAGCCGCAGGTTTTCTGATGATCTCAAGAAGCGGGGATGGGATTCTTTGACGAATTTGAAACGATCTTTGAGATAAGAAGGGGTAGTGGGATTAAAAAGTATATTATATAACATGTTTAAAATATGTGCATTCCGGCGAAATCGAATTGGCAGCCACTTGAGTTTCTCACGAAATTCGGAAACGTGATCATATTTGCGTAGTCCAAATATGAATCTTATGCAAAAATTTTGAAGGCACTCAAGCTTGTTCATATAATATATAATAATATAATATATAATAATAACATATAACTTTGTATTACACTTCCTTTACAGTAACGCTTCAAAAATGTTGACATTTAAGAGAGTAGTGCGAGAAATTTACATGCAATCAATTCGTTTTTCATAGTCTGATATGTTTTTGAGTACGTGTATGTGTGTATTTACGTATAATTTTGTATATGTTTTGTATTTCTTGTATAACGTATATGTTGATATTATTTAAGTAGGTTATCTTATATTCACACCGATACCGGCTTTTGAAGTTACAGAACATTTTCATCGGTTTGACTGGTAGAGAATGCCTATTTAGCATTAAGTCTGCCATTAGCTATTTTATGCCAAAGGTTACAAGAGTGTCGGTTTTTAAATGCTGCAATTTGTTGACTAGACACATTTCGCATTTTGCCGTTACTATACAAATTCTTCCCAAAATTATGTGGTTACTTGTATAAATAAGAACTAGTAAGCATTAAATCTACGCATCGGTATCGTTGTGACAAGGATATGCTAACATATTTTCTACATTGATGTAGCATGTTATTAGTAAAATGTCCAAATGTTACTGTCATTTAAATTCGGAATGTATTCAATAGATTTACTTCAATTTTTAAACATCATTGTGTGTAAGATTTATAAAGACATTTATAAACATTCTATCCCAAATTTTCCTAGAGACTGTCTGAGTATGCCGGATTCACGTATGACGGAATAATAAACAGCTGACGTGTTCTAAGTTTTTTTTATAGTATGGCAGACATAGTGAACAGGCAATCAGGCCTTATATTCTTAAAATCGACGATATCATGGACTATATCGTCTGTCCTGCTCTAATTTCATGGAGTCACGTACGTTGGTGATAATACGAAAATTTTGGTTTTCAGAGTACTACTGGTATCTTCACAACTACCACTCTCCAATTGATTTTGGTATTTTATACGTTGACAGTTAAGTTTAAAGTCGACAGTGAGTTTTTGATACCTTGTGTCAATAATACTGATGTGTGGATAACTTGTAATATGGTGTTACTATTATCATAGATCTTATACTATAGTAACATACAGATAATTAGAATAACTATTAACGTGATATATCCATCATATACTATTATTAGCACAGTGATATTAACCGATGCACGTCGATACGTTCACATAACAAGTTTTTATATAAAACCAGTTTTCCTACAATTATCGTTTGGATTCGACCAATCGAGATAAAATAACAAAACACATTAGTTTTTTTTGAGATCACTCTAATCTGAAAATAATGATTACACTTGGTTTTGCCTAAATTCTGGAAAACCCTTTATTAGATAAGTTAGATATTTCATTACAAATATGATGTATTTCATTTAGACTGACTATAAGTTCATATGAAGAAATCATTAGCAGTATTTGGTCGGTAATCAAAAAATAGCTCATAATAAAATAAATATTATTGTGAAACTAGGTTTTTTAGAGATAAAGTATTGTAGATAACCGCAAAATAATATCTTTTATGTCATATAATGGAAATAATCAACCCTAACCCTACTGGATGCAATTTTTCAACTTGTAAAATTAAATTCATTAAATCTTAATCGTTTCTTCCGCAATTTTTTGCTTCCTCTATTTTTATTTATCGTTATAATTAATATAAAACACAAATTCATCAGAATTATCACTAATTTGTTTTCAAATGTTTAATGTCGAGATAACCCTAAGCATCTGTATTATATAAAGTTTACGATGCGTAGAATGCTATAAATGCAATTAATAAGTAAAATCATGAAGCCAGATAATACTAAAGCAAAATTAAAAGTTAATCATATGTCTTTAACCGGTTTAAAAAATAGGGAAAAGTCAGAAGGAAACCATGAAGATTATACATTAAAATATTCAACTTTAGATTGTATCTGAGCAATTATTAGCTTTATATTTGCATCTAAATGTTTCAATTTTGGTCAACTGCCAAACAACACTGTCATTGTCAATTAAGTAATTTGTTTTTGTAGCTAGAAGATGTCTGAAATACTTACAGACTACTCCCAGAAGCAAAGTGACCACAAAACACATATACCAGTCACCCATGTTTCTAAATATACACTTTAATATTTATAATTAACTATCCACACATCACGACGAGGATTATTATTCCTCTGTATTTCTTACTATAAACAACAAAATAAATAAATAAGGAAAAACGATTTTATACATGCGCAGGCAACGCGTCGTCGATACTAAACCTTGGAGGTCAAGTTGGACATTTTAAATATGCCTTGTTTTTATGTACCGTCCACAAAACAAACTCGATAAATTAATTAAAATTGTTTCAATAATTCGTATGGTAAATGAAGTAAGAAATGAAATGTAACCTTTTTAAATCTACGACTTATATTATAACTTTGTTATATGAATTACACAGTAACAGGTATATAAGGTAAGGTAAGGTGTTTTTATAACTATATTATACAGCAAATAATGATACGAACGGGTGGTAAAATAAAAGTACAATTTTACTAATACCACAGTAATACTATAACTTTAAATACAAACAATATTGGCTACTATTTTGCTCTTTGTAAAGTTTTAGTAGCAAATATGCTAATTATTTTTAAAGGAATATACTCTAATTATTATATTTGATTATACTGAAAAATATTCTTAATGAAAAATGCTTAGAAAAATCCATCTTTTTCCCTAGCACTTTGAGGTGGGACTCGAACAAATGCCTGAAAAATTCGTCAGACCTGTTAGGTCCTGGCTAGCTTAGTGGTTAAAGCAGTGAGCCCGGATTGCGAAAGCTCATGGGTTTGAATCCCATCTTTAAGTGCCAGGGACAAAATGGATTTTTTAACCCTTTTCATTAAGAATATACTATAACTTTCGGTTATACTGTATCTTTCAATACTCTTCGGGATAATCAAAACACCAAAAGAAATATATATTTATCGTGTTAATTCGACACAATTCTTTAAAATATATAAAACAATATACTAATTTTAAAATAACCGTTATTTACTTAAAAGTTGTAAATATTAATGTATCTTGTTTATTAGTATGCCGACCTTACTAAGCTATCTCTGCTCTTGACCATGTGATTTAAGTCAAACATGGATGGAATAACCCACCTATGAAATACTCTGATCTCTGGAGTTCTTCTTGCAAGAGTGAGATATGAGTAATTTGTGTGAATTATTTTTATATTCATTTTTTCAAGGATATAAATAAAAAATCAATTTTCCTAAAAAAAAACGTCCACGAATATGGCATACGGATTATACTACCTTACACTGTTTGTATATACTAATTTCATTTATATTTGTTTCGGTTAAGATACTACCAAAATGTAAGTACATTTTATCAATATTTAATTTGACTCCATTTGAAACGTGTTTTAATTACGTAGCTTGTTAAGAAATTTCTCCGCGAATAAATTTGTTTCCACTATTTATCGGAAGTTTCTTATCTTTTTGTACTTTTTGTATGTAATATGTTATTATATGTATATTGTATGTTTATCAATGTAAATTAGTTTAAATTCTTCTTTATCTCCGATGTTAGTAGGTTAAAAAAGAAACGAGCAAAATAACATGGATGTTGTTGTACTTAATTATATATCCAATTTTTGTTTGAGTATTTTTTTGTTATAGCGGCAAAAGAAATACACCAACTGTTCTAAATACATACGGATAAATAGACATACAGATGGACGGATGGACAGAAGAGTCTTAGTGACAGGGTTCCCGTTTTATCATTTGTATACGCAACCCTAAAAAGAGAGAGAGATAAAGTGTCAATAATTTATATTAGTGACTTAATTACACAATATCCAAATCAGTGCACTATGTTTCATGTGTATAATAGGTGTCGGAAATTGACAATAGAACACTTTGATGAATCTTTGCCTATTGGTAGATTCCGTCATGACGTTTAAGGAAAATCTGATCGATAAAATGTCTAAATAAGCAATATGGGAATTATTGTACTCAAATTATGCAATAAGAAGTTACTATAAAAGTTGCCCACAACTTAGAACTTTCATTTGCCCTGGCCTTGAGCCTGCGTACTTTAATGACTGTATCATATAGTAAAGCTCAGCAACAAGTTGAGAAACTTGCAGAAATATATTTTTCGTATCGCCGTCTCTAAGGTTCGATTTCTGGTCGGTTCAATGTAGAAAATGAACTTCGCAGTCTCAGATACCCTATAATACGGGGGCTTTGCCTACTCTCTTTAGCTTTGATGTTGTCTCATATTTATTTATACTTCTATGCTAATATTATAAAGAGGAAAGATTTGATTAATTGTTTGCAACGAATAGGCCCCGAAACTACTGGAAACGGGAAACTATATCATATGCGGTGAACAAAGACTGTATTTTATTCTGAAAAACAGCAAATAACGGGATGAAAATGTAAGTGGAAGTTTGTATAGGGAATTAAAACTTTACCCTGGTGATAATTGTTTAATATTCAATTTGTATTTGTAAATATATCCATGTCATGATAATGATATGAATCTATATCCAAATAAACAGCTTCCTAGGGACCACGCGGGCGCTGGCGGAAAGCTAGGTAATTTATAGTTACCAATTTATTGAAGCATGTATAATAAATGTTCTGTAGGAATAGATATCAATTAATTACTATATAATCTTATCTTTATTGCTTCATAACAAGTATGTATCAATTAACTAGTTGAATCAATCAGATTAGTTAATATGAATATTTTTAACTGATAATAGTCTGCTATTATAATAGAACAATATAATATAGATTTTTATGAGTGAGATAATATTAGGGGGGTCGTTGACTTTCATCATTTGTTGTACAGTCAACAGTTCCTCAGGCTATACAGATTTGTCAAGTTCTTTTCTTCACTAGATTTTAAGACTTATGGCCTTTAAAGGAGCGCTTAAAATGAACTGGCGAAATTTTACATATTGTGGCAACCGTACTCACATATTGTGGTAACCTGACTTGCAGCCGTATGGTAAAATAAACAGCAAGTCAGGAAATACACAACTGTCAAAGTCAGACACGTAATTTTAAATGTTAGTAAACCATTGAATTTTATATTTGCATAATATTGGTTAAAATAATGTGTTGTTCCGTGAACATATAAATAAGTTTTTATTTACGTATTATAGTGAGGTAGACATCGTCAATATAATTTAGGCGACATAATTCTTCTTATTACTTTATCTTGAAAACAAGTGCTGGTTTGATTTTGATAAAAAACAGAATATTTCAAACAATCATTAAAATTCGTCTAATATCGTTTAACTCAAATAAAAAAAAGTATTCAATCAATATTTTTTCTAAATGCTGTCCAAGTCCCATCTCAGAGTACCCGGGGCATTTTTAAGTATTAATTTTCCAGCATATAATTGTGAATGCAATATTTTTTTTATATACTTTATAGATTAACGCTTGACTACGATCCCACCTGATGGTAAGTGGTGATGAAGCCTTGGGTGGTATAGCGCATTAACCTAGTAACAGCCTTTTCACTCTTGATTTGAAGATATTAACATTATAATCGGACGGAAATACACTCGCTGGCAATTTATTCCAGTCCTTGGCGGTACGTCAAATATAATAATTAGATATACTACATAAATTGAATATAAAGATTTTATATAAATAACTGTTTTATATGCGGATCGAGGGGGTAAGTGAAACACTAGACGGCTGTCAACGCACTGTCGTTTATTCACTATAATGACGCGGACGCAGCGGCGTAGGTATCTATATCTACTTTTACATAACAATAACAAAGTTGTATTTATCTAAATAACAACTTTTTACTAATCATATTTAAATATTTTGGGCTTTTTAATCGCTAAGATGATGAGGTGCTGTTATCTTCGAGGTCCCGGTTTTGATTCCCGGATAGGTTAATATAGAAAATCAACTTTACAATTTTGTCCGGATCTGTGTGTTATGGCATCTTCGTTGTTTCATTTTTCATGTTGCATTTGTTTTAACTAACTATTAAAAGGTAAAAATAAAAAAGTAAACTCAAAGAGTAATATTACCTTATATTGCTATGACATACAAAGACTTGCCAAAAATATTGCACTATGGCGACTCTTTTTATTTTGTAGTTTTTGTAATAGGATTTATACACACCTAATATATTATTCGCATAAAAAATATACAAAACACAATGAGAATGAACAAGGAAAATGTTATATTTAGGAATGAAGGTAGCACTAACGTGGCCTATTAACACAGATCAAAAGAATTTTCCGTTAAGTCTATTTGAGTCGATTAATATGACCTTAGAAATTATTTTACACTGTTCTTACAATATCAAGGTGTCCCTATGTAGTTATACGAGGTTTTTTGTTATTACTTCTATTGATATACGATACTGTTATAAGTTGCCAACTTAGGTAATGTCCACTTGTCCGTTGAAACTTATTTATGTCTAGGAACTAAGGAATTGATATTGCAATATGAGAATTAACTTAGGCCGCTATAGAAATTGTACTATCAATTTGTTTTATAGTTATATCTTGAATATCGTGATATATTTATTATGGAAGGCTAAAAAATAACTTCTTAAGTCCTTTCATTTATTCAAAAGGATTTTTGCTGTTTCTAAGCAACTTTTAATATGCATCTAGGATTCAGATAGATTTCAATAGCAATAGCAAATATAAATAACGTAATTTTAATAATATTTTCACTTGGCATGATATAATAGCCTATAAGAAAATACATAAGGATTTATATAATAAGCATATTTGTAGTATTAAAAAGTCTTTTTAGGTATTTTCAAGATATTTATTGTAGTTCCATTCATTAGTAATGCAGATAATACATATCAGTATTTAATGTTTCTTTTCTAGGTATTCTTAGGTAAATTTCTAAATTTACCTAAGAAATAGTAAGAATTAGTATCTCCATCTATTAGGAGAATACGAACTGCTAGTACGTAAAGTTTCCGTAATCCAGTCAAAATAACGTGACACCATGGTGTATATTCCTGGCCAATTGTCCCGTCCACAACCATATCCAAAAGATATTATCCCTATAGCTTCCCACTTTCCACCCTTCTGCCTCATAGCTGGTCCTCCAGAATCACCTCTACAAGCATCCTTGAGGAATTCACCGCCGACACATATCTGCGAGTTAGTCAGGCTGATTTTGTGAAATGAACGAAATTGATGGAAACATTCAACCTTATTTGCAATGGAGAGGGATACTTTCAGCTTTTCGGGACTGCTAA